CCAACCAACCAACCAACCAAAACCCAGAGCCCAAGCCCTAAAGCCGAAAGCCTGCTGTTGTGAGTCAGGGGGCATCAACGAGAACAGCATCTCTGCAGCGCATGTTGGGTCTGCAAACATGGAGGACTTCCTGAGGCTTCTAACGGCCTACATTAAGGGTTTAAGGGGTTTAGGGTTTGGGGGTTTACGGGTTTCAGGGATTGGCCTCCGGAGGCTTCGAGGGTGTAGGAGTATAAGGGCCTATGAAGTCTGTGTTTCCGATCTGCGGAGAGCATCCCAGGGTTAGGCTTTTTGAGGCACTAGCCTTGTTGGGTTTCGAGGGTAGAGGGCCCTATAGCTGAGGTTGAGGGTATGGTTTGAAGCGGGTTTTAGTATGGGCATTGGGGCATACAGGGACCTCAGTGGATTGAAAAATCATTCGTGCATTCTCAACTCATAACATGCCCTGGTCATGTAGGCCGGTGCAGGTTGTGATTGCATGCAGCCATTGGCTGACGATGGCTTGCGAGGGCTTCGGATAAACGAGAGTGATAACAACTCCTCGTTCGAGGCTTTGCGGAGAGGCCTAGGGCTCATAACAGCGCCGCTACGGTGCCCCATTTTGTGCGCTTGCGACTGCTCTACTTGACTCAGAAGTCAAGGCAAGCCGCCAGAAGAGGCAGACCCCCAGGAGGATAAAGGCAAAGAAGAACCTCGTCCGACGTCCCGAGGAAGTTTGGGTAGGAACGGGTAGCTTAGCCCTGTCATTATCAGGGCTGAGGGTATGCAGCCAAAGGTTTCTCAAAGAAACCCTCTTAAGTTTGTTTTGCTGCGGGCCTCCTTTTCGGAAACTGGCCCTGCAACGCATGGGAGCTTCTTCTAACGCTTTTCGAGGTCGGTTGCCCGGAAAAGGGGGGCATAATTCACATAGGTTAGGGTTTAGGGTCTACACAAATGGGCTACAATATTAATTACATGATGACTTACATGGCTGAAATACATGTATGTAATTAGCTAGTCTTCAGGGTCCCTTCTCTGAAAGGTGTCATCGATGTCGCGGGACGGTGCCACGGAGAAGAACAGCTGCAGAATACGGATGCCGCTGCGTGCAATGGTGTGGAAGGCGATGAAGTAGCCTGATCGCGGCTTCTGAGTCTGGAGTTCGATGTCTAGGAACTAGCCACCGACCATGAAGTTCAGATTGTTGGCCGAAGTGGTTTAGGGTTTAGGGCCGTTTAGGGTTTAGGGTTTAGGGCCGAAGTGGATCATGTCTTGCAATACTGCAGCACGCAAGGCTCATGTACGAGAAGGCCAATCACCCGTACTGTAAAGGCGGCGAGTCCGGGTACAATGAATGGTAGCCCATGTTGCACGTGACCCGTTTTGAGCTTAAAGCCTTAAACCAGGCAGCTGGGATGTTAATGTTCTGTCACTTGGTAACTTGGTAACTTAGATTATGCCTAGGCCATGTACGGTTCTCACAAGCACGACCAGAACCAGGCATCCACCGAGCAGAGTAGCACCTGTTCTGCTTAGGGTCTACACAAGCTCCCATTGTATGCATGTTTGCTAGGAGCTCAGTCGTCATGGTGCAATAAATCACCGAGGAAATCGGAATATAAATGAATCCTTGATCAGGAGTCCCAACATTAAGAGGCCATCTGGCCCGACAGTCGAACAGCTTGTTGTGTCATACCTTGCAGTTTTTTGTGCCGCAACCTCTTGCAGGTGATAGCACAAGCTTAAGCTTCCAAACTGGAACCGCACAAGAGACCTTGCACCTTCAAGATCCCTCAACTAAACTCCACGCACTTTCGACGAAGTGCTTCCTGGCTCTCGAAGGTAAACGAGCCCTGTTGACCACCCTGGAAGCCCTAAAAACCCGGAGTCTCTCAGAGCCTCCCCAACCCACCCACCCCCCCCCCCCTCCCCGACAAAAAC